GGGTTGTTAACCAATGTCATAAAACAACGTGTACTACTGTTTCATGAGAAACTATTTGTTCTGTAAGCCTTCACCTGAAGTACAATAAAATATAAAAAAAAAAAAAAAAATTTGATGTTCCCATATTTTTCCTCCTTTTGATCGAGATCCATCTATTGGGTCCTTGATCAAAATGGTCAGTAATGGTAGCCAGGCACCATCCATTTCTTCTGGTCTCATGGCATAGGAAGTAGTTCATGGAGGCAGTTAGATATGCAGTCCATTTCTTCAGTCCTGGTTTCCTTCTTTACCGCTCCAGGCAAATAGCGACTAGTCGTTGTATCTTGGGTGGCCACTCACAAGCTACCCTGGGCACTACTCACCGAACTAGGAGGTAGAACAGAAACTAAAAACAACGTTAGGCCAATTGACTGAATAGACCCGTGAAACCATGACCCTAAATGTTTGAACCAAGAAGTTTAATCCCATGAGGTGTTCTGTTGTACCTCAGTAGCATCTACACATGCAGCCCTTTTTTGGGGAGGTAGGAGGAGAGCTGCTGCTGTTGTAAAATTATATATAACATTATATTTGCAATTTCGCTCCTTTTTTCTGATGCACAGCTTAGTTATATCAGTTATGTTAGTCAAGTTGTGTAGTCATTACCCTTAGTCGATGTCTGTTTTCCCATCGACATAGATAAAAATTCACTACTTGCCAGAGAATAGTCCCTGTCTCCCTCCCCTCTTCCACCTCTGGTAATCATGAGTAATCATTGGTCTCTATGTTTTCCTATCCTTGTTATCTCAGATAAGTGAGACCATGCAATACTTTCTTTTTGCAATTGACTTATTTCAGTCAGCATAGTATCTTCAAGGTTCATCCATTTTGTAGCATGTTTCAGGACTTGATTTTTCTTTAAGGCTACCTCTTTTAAGTTTTACATAGCAAAGATGATGCTTTGATGACTGAGGTGCACCTGACCCAAGCCATAGTCTTTTCAGTTGCCTCACATGCATACGAAAGCTGGACAGTGTAGAAGGAAGACAAGAATTGATGTATTCATCCTGTGGTGTTGGCAAAGAATATTGAATATACCGTGGAATGCCAGAAGACGGAACAGTGCAGTCTTAGAAGAAATACAACGAAAGTGCTTTTTAAAAGTAAAGATGGTGAGACTTTGGCTCACTAACTTTGGACACGTCATCAGGAAAGGCCAACAGCTAGAAAAGGGCATCATGTTTGGTAGAGGTTCAGCAAAACCAAGGGAAAACCCTCAGTGAGATGGACTGACAGCAGTAACCACACCAGTGAACTCAAACATACCATGATTATGGAAATGGTTCAGGACCAGGCAACATTTTGTTTTGTTGTACTTAAGGTTCCCGTAAATCAGTGCTGACTTGATGGCACCTAACAGCATAGTGTGAATTGGATTGGTTTTTGCTTGCTTTATTGGTAACTGAGGATTTGATATTCTTGGGCCTTTCTGCTCAGTTCGTTACACTTGCTCAGATCCTCTCCAGCTTTCAAATTCTGTTACTGTTATTTTATATTCTTTGTTTAGGCCTCTTTGAAAGAAATCTTTGTGCTGTCTTTATTACAGGGTTTTGGGGGAGAGCTGATCTAAATGCCTGTGATCACCTTGTACTGTCATTATTACAGGGTTTTTGGAGAGAGCTGATCTAAATGTCTGTGATCACCTTGTTGTCTTTAATAAGGAAGACCACCTTGGAGATCGTTCCTTGTTGTACATATAAATCTACCTCTTGTTGATTTCTTTTAATAGCTATGGAACACACTTCATAGTATGGATGTGCCGTATTTTAAGTGGTTTCCTGTTCATGAACATTCGTTTTTTTTTTGGCTATTACAAACCACATTGCCATATGGGGGGAATAATGTGTGCTGGAATTTCTGTAGGTGTATACCAAGAAGTAGAAGTGTGTGTGCTTTAACGTTTTTAATGTTTACTGTCAAGTTGCCTTACAAAAAGGTTGTGCCATAGTGCTCTCACCAGCAGAGTATGAGAGTTCCAGGTTCCCCTGTGCTCATCTGTGGCTGACTTATTTATTTATTTAGCCTGGTTGGTGGTTAAACTGGAGCCCTGGTGGCACAGTGGTTAAGCATTCATCTGCTAACCAAAAGGTTGGCAGTTTGAATCCACCAGCTGCTCCTTGGAAACCTTATGGGGCAGTTCTATTTTGTCTTATAGGGTTGCTATGCATCAGAATCGACTGGATGGCAATGGGTTTGTTTGGTTTTGTTTGGTGGTTAAACTGTTACTATTACTTGTCTATGTACCTCTTCTAGCCTTTATGTATTGAGCGTTTGTATGTCATTTAAGAAAACCTGTTTATTTAATAGTTTAAAGTTGTGGTTCTCAAATTGGAGTGTATATCTGGATCATCTTGGAGGCCTGTTAAAATACAACTCACCCCCTAGATTTTTTGATTCATTAGGTTTGAGGTGAGTTCAAGAATTTGCATTTCCAAGTTCCTGGGAGATAGCTGATACTATAGACCACACATTGAGAGCTTTTGGCTTATAGAAGGTTTTTATGTATTCTGGATTTTAATCCTTTGTTGCATGTATTTTTTCATATGGAGCATTTTTTTACTTCATTTATTGTATCTTATATGAAATTTCAAACTTTGTCAAATACATCCTTTTTTAGTTGTTACTGTGTTTTGCTTTAGAAGTTTTTTCCTGTGATGAGGTTATAAAGATATTTTGTATTCTAATAATTTCATAGTTTAAGAACACATTTATCTGTAGTATCTATAGAATTTTACTGTTATTTGTAGTATGAGATAAAGATCTAATTTCATTATTTTTTCATGTGAATTGTCGATACAGTGTATATAATTTTTGCAGATTTAAAATGCCATCTTTATCATAGTCGGATTTCCCATATATAAATAGATCTGTTTATGACCTCTATATTTGCTTTTCATTTTCACTTTTTTTTTGTTAAAGAGGGTAAGCCAGAGAAATTTTCATTTGGTCTTCTGGATTCTCCTTTTCGTGTTGGAGTGCCTTTCAATATCCCTCTGGAATTTCAGGATGAATTTGGTCATACCAGTCAACTAGTAACTGATATTCAACCAGTTCTTGAAGCAAGGTAATTTGAAGGATCAAACTGTATTTATGTTTTCATATATGCTAAGATTCTTTTTTTTAAATTAAGGTTTAATTGTTCTTGTGTGCTTATTAACTTCACTGTTGCCTTTTAAAATGCTTAATGAATTTTATGGTATCTAGCACTTTATTTAGCCCCTAAGCTGTCTTGTGTGATTACAGTATCATCTGTAAATTCCTTTTCACTGACTATTTTGACTTAATTTATTGTTGAAGATGTTTAGGTGAGACTAAAGCTCTTGTATTCTCCTGGCAATTCCACCTGCTAGTAATACCACTAGTTACTTTGTTGTTTTGCTTAGAAGGTATGGCCAGTTAAGCTTAGTGGTATTACCTGCTAGTAGGTTTTTAACTTGCCAATGCAGTTTATGTTGTTTTGCTTTAAAATCCATAGGAATAAATGTTATATGGTAATTTAGGTCCTTCCTTGGAACTTACCTTTACATAGTATTAATAGCCCTCTGGAGTAATGTTATCGGCTTATGCCATATTTTTATGCAAATAACATGTGCCTTCTATGTTTGTTTGCCAACGTCGCCCTCCCCTCGTGAGGTATTTTCATAAGCACTGCTATGCCAATTTTTTTTATATGTTGCTGTTTAAAAAACAAAAAAATGAGCATCACGTGCTTACAGAAATACCTCGCAGGGGGTGGGCACCGTTGGCAAACAGACATAGAAGATGCATGTTATTTGTGTAAAATGTGGTGTTAAGAAATAACTCTGAGAAATTTAGCAAGATGTCATTGAGAATGTTCATTATTTACCCTTACCTCTTTTTGAGGTGCCTACGGAGAAATCCCTGATCAGTCTCAAGGGCACAAATTAGGTTTCTTCTCCTATTTGTATTTCTTCTTCTAATTGCTTTTGTAGAAATGCTAAATTTTTTGTTTTGTGTTGCTTTGTTTTTTGCACTGCCTGCCAAATTTGTCTTTTTGCATCCAATTTTTGTGTATGCTATCTTTTGATGTGTGTGTGTGTGTGTGTGTGTGTGTGTGTTCCCTTTTTGGTGGAATTGTTTACACTTCAATCATTTGAGCATGCAGTGTATTCCAGGCACTTTTGCTGGCTGGAGATATAGAAGTGAATAAGGACATATTCACATAAGCTCACAGACTAGTGTGGTATATAGTTTTATGTCTAGATTTACACCATCATTAAGTTCCTGAAAAGCGGTACATAGTTTTTAAAAAAATATATTTACAATGAATATTTTGAACATAGTTTTGTGTTCCCTTAAATTGCAAGAAGTCATTCTTGTCTTTTTTGACATATTATGTTAATTTGAATATTAACAATGGAAGAGTTGAATACTTAAACAAGTTTAAAAAATAAAACAGTAAAAATATCTAGTCTAACCACAAATGGAAAAATATTAGTGCATCCGCCTATACCTATTATCTATTATATCTTTCATCTTCCCTTGATAGGCTATTCTTACATAAGAAGTCTCTGTCATACATACACAGTGATATTTATGATTTTGGACTTTTTTATTTTGGTGGCATGGCCATGTCAATTTGTCTTCAGTAAAATGAAGACCATTTAAGTGAGTTTCTTTGGTGTTTTTGTTTTTCTCAGCTGTTATCTAAATTTTTAAAAAATAATTCATTTATATATATGGCTTAAAGAATCAAATAGTTTGATAAGGCCTGTGTAAAATTCTAGTGGTAGTAATAGTAGTAGTGTCAGACTTCAGGGGGGGATAATGACCAGGATCACCCCAAAACTGATGCCCACTTTATTTGCAGAGTCTATTGACCAGTCCCTGCAAGGTGAATACCAGTCACAGGGCAGGCTCATCCCAAGACCAGACAAAAAGTGTCAAACCACAAGTTGTTTACAGTTTACCCACAAAATGCCAGTCAACCTGGACAAAAGTAACAAACTCTCTGGGGTAGAATACTAGGGCAAATGTACTCCTCAGGGTTTAGGGGGGAAATCTCTCAAACTGGTTTTCTAAAGAACCGAGGCAAAAGCCCTCATAAAGGAACTCGTTTCACCATAGTCCACCCTCTGACCTTTTCACCATGTGTTCTTTTACATACATGTTACCAGTCCAAATCAGTCATTAATAAATAGGTCATCAGTAGAGCAAAGAGTCTCAGGGTGAGGTCACCCAGGTAGCAGCCACTCAGGTCTGCTGCAGGTGTCAGTCTGATCTGGTCAGGTTTTCCAAAAGGTTGTCTCGGCTTCACCCTTTCTGGCTTCTGATAAAATTTAACTTAGAGAAATATTATTTCTTTGTTCTGACCCGCTCGAGGTAGCAACATAACAAAACCTTTAAGGGACATTAGGTTTGGGCACTGTACTCCAGTCCAGCAGTGCCTCCCTCTTAGTCCACTGTTTCCATTACAACTACAGTTTTATAATCACAATTAACCCTGTTAAAATAAACAGTCACAACTGAGTTGGATCAGCATGTTCCCCTACCCTCTCTTCCCCTGACCCATCAGGAAAAGAGGAATCTGTTTGCTCCCTTGTCCCCCTCATTTTGAGTGTAAACATACTTACGAAAGTGTGTAAGCCCACCACTTCGTGCCTTTATTTCCCCCCATTTTAGATAGCCAATGTTTAAATTGCTCCCCTACCAAACCAGTACTATGAGGAGACAAGCATGTTCCTTGATCTGAAGAATCTTCTGTTCTGGTTAGAACTTTTAGCATCTGCATCTATAAGCAAAGTTCAGTCTGGGGCAAGCCATCAAATTACACCAATCTACAACAGCTCACGGTGTCAAACATCTCTCTCTCTCTACCCTTTTACTTGGGGCCAGGTCATCTCATCCCCATTCATTTGGGGCCAGCTCATCCCTAGCCATCCAAGCTAGGTCAGTGGATACTAGTCATATGCTTGGAAGTCCATGAACCACCCTGCACTTTAGATCAACCAGCCCCTTTCTCTCTCTCTCTCTCTTATCCCTAGCCCTCTGGGGCTAGGTCACCAGGTGCCAATGGAGCTTGTCCAAACTCACGCCATCTCTTTATTGCTGCATCTCTCCACTTTCACTCATCTCATGGACCCAGGTGGTTACCTCAAGTAAGCATACCAAGCTGTCTACTCTCCAGCTTCCATTAGTTTCTAGTCCCGGAAGGGGGCTCTTCTGATGGATACTGACATGTCCTATTCAACACACCCTTCAGATTCCTTAGGGCTATGCCCCACGTGAACATCCTTTTACTGTTCGTTCACCAAACAGCAGTTTGCTCACTCAAGCCTTCAGTCTTCATGGTACTCTCAAATACAGATCTCCTGATATCACAGGCTTTTGGCATAAGCCAGATTTAATATTTCCCCTTTTAGCTTATCCAATCCAGAATTGCCTGAAGGGCAGCGTTACATGCTCTCCATTTTTTTATAATACCCAATATTCATTTCCATCTTACATTCAGGTCTGTTTTACAATACCATGTAGGGAAAACATTCCTTCACTGAGACAAATATGGTACCTTCAGGTAAACATATAACCTTTTTAAACATTCCAGTTTCGTCTTCTGTTCTCCACCCTCTCACTATCTTACCCATTTGTAAGCGTTTGACCTTAGGTCTCTGGCTGGGTTGAAACAGAAGACCCTGTCCCGCTATCAATCATCTTGCTTAGCCTGCTGGACTTTCACCCCAAGCCACTGCAGATGCAGCTTTCCTACCCACTGCTGCAGCTTTCCTACCCACTGCTGCAGCATAACATCTCTTACTTTCTTTTAGCCATTATGGGTAGCAGGAACCAAAATAACCATCCAAGAATCAAAATTTTCTCATCCCATGCCTGTTCATCCTTTTTCCTCCAAAACCTTGTGTTTCTGTGAGTCAGGAGCCATTGCAACAAATCCCATTCCTGATGCCAATTAGAAAATTCTAGTGGTAATGATAGTATCATCAAAACCTGTCTAGCTTCAGAGGGGATAATGACTAGGATCAGTCCAAAGATGATTCCCATGAGGTAGAGTTCAGACATACCTCCACCCTCCAACCATTAACCAATTCTGACACCAGCCATCCTCCCCATGTCAAAGATGTGCACTCTTATTCATATACTAGTCCAGGATTATAGATTGGTAAATGACTGAAGTTATTTTTTTAATTGAGCAATAATTGACATACAACAAAATGCACAGATCTTAAGTACGGTTTGATAAGGCTTGACAATTGTATACACCTGTGTAACGACCATCCAACATAAGATTTAAAATATGCCCATCCATAACCAGATGCCTTCCAACATTGGTCCTAAGCCTTCAAACCCAGAAAACCATAGTCTCATGGGACAGTGCAGTCAGTTGGCATAACATAGTTCATAAAAATCATGATCTGCATCCTAATATAGTGAGTAGTGTCTGAGGTCTTAAAAGCTTGCGAGTGGCCATCTAAGACACAACTGTAGGTCTTCTACTCACCAAGCACAAAACAGTAAGCAGGTAACCAAAAGCTCAGAGAAGAAACAAGTCTACACGAGCCACAACCTCATCTACCCTGAGACCAGAAGAACTAAATGGTGCCTGGCTACCACCACTGACCGGTCTGACTGGGGTCACAATAGTTGGTCCCAGATAGAATGGGAGAAAAATATGGAGCAGAGCTCGGATTCTTCTTAAAAAAAAAAAAAAAGGCCGGACAGACTGAAACAGTAGAGAACAGAGGACTCCCTGAAACTATCACCCTGAGACACTCTTTAAACCTAGAACCAAGCTTGTTGTCTGAGATCACATTTTAGCAAAATAGCAGAGTGGCACACAAAATAAAGGAATATTGGTGCACTACTTAAAAACCATCAACATGAGACAGTTACTCAAAGATGAAAAGATAAGGGGCAGGGAAACTAGAGTACTGGGAAGGAAACCAACAGAACACAAAGAGAATGTTCAAACATTGTGATAAATGTAACTAATGTCACTGAACAATTTGTGTTTTGGAAATTGTCAAATGGGAACCTACCTTGATGTATAAACTTTCACCGAAAGCTCTATAAAATATTTTTTAAAAATAG